TCTTGCAAATTTGACTTCTGAATTTTGATCAGTGTGTAGTCATCCCAGTTTTGAGTCCTATTTTCCCAGCACAGTTTTCCTTTCCTCATCACGCCCCGAGGGATTCAAGTATAGGTGTGTTTTAATGATGTCGACACGTGTCTATTAGTGGCTGTGGCTGGGATTAATGAATCATTTTACATAACCTAGCAAACAGCTATCCAGTGGTTTTCATCACTGACTTGGGCTTGAGTCCAACTTCTGACATAAAGGTAAAAGCCTCTGTATCCTGTTACAGTTGCCTGGGCTGAAAGTTGCTTGAGTGAAGTTTTTTACTAATAGACAAAAAAAAAGGTAGAATACTCAGCAAATAGTGCTTTCCAGGCCCATATGTATTGTAGTGTATTAGGTAATCACTGAGTAATATTTTTTGTACATTTTAAATTCTCACAGATGTCAAAATGGCAGTAATCAGACTTACGTAATATATACATTGACAAAATGTTTTGGATCCTGAAATGTTTTATGAATCCATCCCATATGAAATTTTGTATTCAGAGGCCATTTCCTTAAGTCAGAAATAAAATATGCATTCTTATTTAGCCATGAAGTAGTTTTCTTGAAAAACAATTAGAAAACCAGGTATAACTAGAGATAGGTCTGAACTGACAGACAAGATCTGGATTGTCCAGATCTCCTCAGATTTTAGGACTCATATGGCCCAATTCATAGATTTGCCTGAAGAGTAATGACTAGGATTTTCTTTTAAATATATTTTAATCTGTTTCTGGTATGTTACTTTTTGCTACTTCATTACTAGCATGCATTTAAAGCAGGTGGTGATATTCATAATGTAGGTATCAGTGCTAAGCTGCTGGTTGTTCCTGTTCAGAAGTGTCAGTACAAAATTCAATAATCTGTGATTATAAAAAGACAATTACCCGTGTATGTCTGCCTAGAGCTAGAAATCAGTTTAATAAATATAGAGCCAAGTTCTTACAGTAAGTTAATATATAGTAAATCCTATATCTATTAAAGAGAATGAAAACTGTATGCACTGTCAATCCTCTAGTTCCGTCCCTGTTGTCAGCCCCAGCTTAGCACATCCTGGTGAGCTATCAGTCATCTTGAACCACAAACTGAAGAGGAAAATCCCCACCAAAACATCCCCCTAACATTTCCTGGTTGCCATGCAGCTCGGCGTGCGGTTTTACCAAGAAGTCTGTTAGCACGTACAAGTCTTACACTTGCTTTCGCTCAAGTGGGCAGGGTGTTCGCAGATCTTCCACTTGGTTTGCTTTGATGTGTCTCTGCAGTTGCTAAAGATCTGCTGCTTTTTTTGGGTTTTTTTTCCCCTCAAATAAAAGACAGTGTCCACCTTGAGAATGAAACCCCCAGGTGGTGTCTTGAAAACAATGAAAATTGGGGAGTAGTGCATGAGACATCCATACAGTATACCAAAAATCTTCATGGAAAATTAATTCCAGTGGGAAGAGTTAGCGTGAGTCAGTGTTACTCATTATACATAAGGGTTGCAGAATCAGGGTGGAAATGGAAATTGCACCTGGTTTCTTACAGTGACAGTTTCTAACAAGCCTCTCCTGTTAATTATCAGGGTGTAACTCACACTTCTCTGACAGGACAATGCTCTTTAGTCTGTGTGAGATGCTTCTACCCCACCAGTGAGCTCTAGCTAGCAAATTGTCTGGGGAACCAAAGTTAGTGATTTTGGCTGACAAGTATTAATTGAACCTGGTTTAGATATGTGAATGAGGATGGCAGAGAAAGGTTTGCATGCAGCTGCTTGAAAGAGGGCACCAGAAATCCCAGCAAAGATGGGGAGAAATGTGGAAGTTTGTGCTTTCCATGCTCATAAAGCTCAGCACAGACAGGAGCACTCCATGGCTTTGGTTTGTGTCACCCAATCTCATGGTCTGGGTGAGATTAATGATTATGACAATTCAGACCATTTCGTACCGTTTGCCTTCTTCAAGGGCTATTATTAAACAGCTGTAGCAAATCATGTGAGTGAAGGAAGAAAGGAAGGATTGTGTCCTGTCAGGCCCCAAAGCCAGACAGCTCTAGGAGGGGGAAGGAGGGAAAGTTTGCGTGCTGTTGGTGATTTCACTGTGAGTCCACTCTGAGTCAGCCCCTTTGAAGCTTCAAAAATGTTAAAAGGATCAGCAATAGTTTGTCACGCAGAATGAGTTTTACATTGCCTTGGCTCTTGGAACACAATAAAAATTCATCTTTTGCATAAGTAACATCTTTTGCATCTGTTACAGCCAGCTAAGTAACATCAATATAAAATTAATGGATTTGACCTTCCTGCCCTGTGGGAAAAGGTGAAATATGTGTTCTGATTTAAATTTACAGTCATGTTTCTTCCTTAATTCAAAATTATAAGCCTCAGCATGGGAAAAAAATTTAAGGTATTAATTTAATTTAGATCCCATAATTTGTTTTTGGTATGGTATTTATTGGTGGGATCAGAATTTATTTTGTTAATTCAATTAAGGGTCTCCATTGTGTGAACATTAAAATCTGAGACTATACAGTAAAAATGCTGTGTTCCCTGATAGCTCTGGGTTTGTATTTTGTAATTTTTAAAATGTGGTAATTACTGCCTTCAAAGACTAGATGCTGAATTTACGCAATTTGCTTAGACAGTGAAATTCCATGTGAGTTTTGGGTACTGCTTTGGTCCTTTTTCTATACTCAGCTCTTCATGAACAGAGTGTCTCTGCTACAGCAGTGGTACTTTTGGAATAGTAGGCGTAGAAGATGTCATCAAAGTGAAGACAAAGATGCTGTCTCAGCATTACTTAAGGGCACAGTGCCAGCAAATTGGATGGCCTCAAAGCCAGTTTTGAGAACTGGATTGCCACATTTTTGCCTGGGGTTTCCTGGACACCCACGTGATCTCTCACGCTGCACAAGCAGGGCTTCCTGGGAGCTTTGGCTTTGCTCCTGGGCACGCATGCAGTGCAGCTGGGCAGCACACGTGCAGTCAGCCTGGTACCTCCCAGCAGTGTCCTGGTGAGCTGGGGCTACTCAGGCTGGGCATTTCCATGGAAAATGTACATGTGAAGGCATGTAGCCCACGTGTAGTTCCATTGAGCCTGTCTGTGTAGGTAAGCCTACTTTTTAAACAGCACAAGTCTAAGTAATTGACTCTCTAAGCGGAATCCTGACTATGAGTGAATCTCAGAGTGGTAATAGAGCATAAATTGTAATGTTCAAAACCAGGAATGGGCTGAGGTTTGATGATAGCTAAATCAACTCACTCTAAACAAAAGTGAACTCCACTTTATAATTCAGTGAATCTAGGATTAACTGCAATCAAATGGAACCTGAAGCAAGTGTACGTGGTATCTGCTTTCACAGCAAAAGCTTTTTAGAAATTAGCCCAAAATTATCAGAAAAGATGTTGATGCTCCGAGAAAATTTATCTCCAAAATCACTGAGCTTGTTACTTTAAAGTAATCAAGTAAAACTTTGTGATCTTATCCCCATATTTAACATTAAGTCTTGGGCCTCACAGAGTACGTTTTAGGAAGAGAGAATCAAGGGAAAACTAAAGAGAAACTTTTCTTGTCTAGGTCATTTATGCTTAATACAGCTACTGGCTGGACAACTTCCAAGACAATATCAGGCTTTGAATATGAAATATTTGGATCCAAAGTAGAAGTCACTTGCATGGCAGATGTGAGAGCAGCTCCATCCTAGCAGTAGTCAAGGAGTCCAGAAGGGCCATGATTTTTAATGACATATGACAACAAAATATTAAAAATATGAAGAACTGTAATCAGCAAGACTGTTAAACAGCTCTGAAATACTAATTTTGTCTAAACTAATTTTTTTTTTTGTCAGCCAATATACTGGGGAAGGTGGAAATGTTGGAGAAGAAGTTTTTTTCCATTCTTTTTGTGAAAGGCTATCCAAGTAACAAAAATGATTAATTCTGTTGCATATGGTGCAAGCATTCAAGATGGGTTGCACACAGCTTTTGAGCTCCTTTGGACAAGCAAGCATCAATACTATTGGACTCCTACCTATGCTGTGAATAGTGGTTGTCCTCTCATGCATCACCCAGCCTGCATCTAATCTGGTATTTTGTCTCCTTGAGAGTTTCCTGTGAGCTATGGAAAGTTCCTTGAGATTTACACTGAGTAGATACCCTGTACACAGAATAACATCAATTTATAAATGGACAAAAGTAGTTAAAGAAAGAGTGCATGCCTTGATTACTATCATTTGCTTTCACATTTATGCTATAGAACAAAATAGACTGTCAAGTAAAAATCACATTTGGAAAATTGCTTATTATTTATAATGTGTCAATATAAATGTGCATGAATTGCATCTGTCTTTTAGAAAAACAGTTTCTATATGTCATCTTTTTCTTTTTCACATAGACAGTAAGGACACACCCTTTTAATATTGGAGCACACTGCTCTATTTTTCCCTTTCTTGCACATGGAACTTCCATTAAAATTAAGATAAAAATGATTCATGCTCCTCTTTGCACTGGAAATAATAGCTGCTCCTATGAAGTGTGCTTTGCAGTTGTCATTCTAGTCTGGAGTGGCAACTGCTTTTTTTCTCTTGAGGGAAAGGTGGGGCAGAAGAAAAATTAATTCACATTGCTTTGAAGTGTCCTGTTGTTTCCCCATTTCTCTCTATGCACATGATTATTATTATTTGTATTGATATTATTATTATTAACCCATTCTTCTACGCATTAGTGTTAATGGTATGTTAAATGTCCTAGATACCTACAAAAACATGCTGTATTGCTATTTTTGGGAAGGCTGGAGATTTGGCTCATGCCTCAGCCCATAGAGGGAAAGTATGAAAAAGGTGATTGAAAGTAGCAGTGCTTTTTCTGAATGAATTGGTAGTGGGTTGTTGTTGTGGGTTTGCTTTGAAAGCATTATACTTGAAAACAACTGATTACCAGGTTTCAGTGAAGCAGTAGGTATATATTTTTAACCATTTTTTCTTTTCCTTCATAACAGAATTCAATGTAAGTTGCAGATATGGAGGAGTTTTTCACGTTGAAAAAAATGGTCGCTACAGTCTCACACGATCTGAAGCAGTTGAACTCTGCAGAGCTCTCAACAGCACCTTGGCAACACTAGAGCAGCTGAAGAAAGCTCATGAGCTTGGATTTGAAACTTGCAGGTAAAGAAACTCTTGAGAAGTATAGTATGGTGAGATATATAGTATAGATAAAAGATAGTATATCATGACACCTCTAGTGTAGTAATTACATTTGACTTACTGTAGATGCAATGATTAACTAAATAAGTTATATTCTGTAATGAAAAAATACCTTTGTGAATGTGTATGCTTGCTCTGAGTCCAGTAATAAGTAAGTCCTTGATGCATTTAGTTTTTGCCTTTTGTTTTTTTTTTTAAATCATAACCTCACACAGATAAATATAAAGGGAACAAAAGATTGACAGTGTAATAAGCTAATTAGGAAGATGTTCAGATCCTAGTGTGCCACTGAACAATGGGTAAGATAAGTATGTGCAAAGTAAGGACCCAGTGTGAGGTCAAAGGCTGAGGATGGTGTATGCAGTGTATGGAACTCAGTCTTGCCAAGGAACAGTAAGAAGCAGAAGGTGGTACTGTGAGGAGTGAACTCTTGTCATCCCAGGGAAAAAATGGCCACAGTACTAGTGCATTCTTGTAATATATGAATGGAGATGTTTCAGATGACAGCTACAGCAGTTAATAAAACCCCAAACCATGTTGTCAAGTGACCTAATTACCTGTTCTAATTAATGATGTATAGGACAGCAAATGTAGATGATACAGACTCCCCCAGTTTCTCAAAAAATAACTAGACCAAGAGACTAGAGGTTACAGAAAACTTTTAATTCAAAAAAATTAAGTGAATAAAACTATGTGATGCTGAACAATCCCAATTTTCTCAGTGTTTCCTCATAGCAGAGGTGCTTCATCTCTCTGATCAACTTTATGACCCTCTGGACTCCAATAGGTCCATGTCCTTCTTGTGATGGGGACCCCAGAGCTAGACACAGCACTTCGGGTGGGGTCTCAGCAAAACAGAGCAGAGAGGGGGAATCTCCTCCCCTGACCTGCTGCCCATGCTGCTTGGGACACAGCCCAGGACGAGTTTGGCTCTCTGGGCTGCAGACAGGCACTGCTGGCTCATGTCCAGCCTCTCCTCCAGCAGTACCCTCAGGTTTTTCTGGGCAGGCTGCTCTCAGTGTGTTTGTGCCCCGGCTGGTATTGGTACACTGCTTCCACTGCCTGTGCATTTCCTTCCTGTGCTTTAGTTCTAAAACAGCTGTGCTGGTCTCTTGGTTTGGTTTCCTGATTTCTTAAACTAGTGTCAAGAGCTCTTGCACTCTGTGGAAGGAATCCTTGAAGACCGTCTCTGCCATCTCTGTTCTGCACCCTTGTCCCTGAGGGCAGTTTTCCAGGAGGGCCTATTGACTACCTTCTTGAAGTGCTGGAAGTTTACTTCCCTAAAATTCAGGGTTTTGACTTCACTCTTCTCCTCGCCCATTTCTCTCAGGACTACAGACTCCACCACTGCATGATCACGGCAGCCCAGGAGCTCCATGGTGGCACACCACTATGGAGTTTAAACAAATGTCAGCAGATTTTCAACTTTATTGCAGTCTAACTTAAACAGCAAACATGGAGAAATGGCATTTATCTTCTGACTGGCACAGAAAAATTCAGTGGACATTTCTCTAAAATTTCAAGACTTTCACTCTGGTACCATGAGAAATAGTACTGACATCAATACTGCTTGCAACTATTTCCTGTTCCTGCATGTTCATTTCACAAGTACTGTGGTGGTGGAATATGTGAACAGAGAATTCTTAGAGGATTCTTCCATCAGAAGTGGAAATGTAATTTAGAATTGTATCATGTAAAGACTAGAAACAGTTCTTTCCTCTGAGGGGAGGGTCCTTCATAACGCAGTAGGCTTGTTCTTTTTCTGACATTAGCACATGAACAGACACAGCATTCTGAATTGCCCAGCACTACACCATATTTAGAGATCAAATCCTAAATAATGCATAGGGGTAGAGATTTCTATGCAAGCAATTATGAGTATGCTAAACTATGGAAAGTATTTTCCAAAGCTAAAATATGAAGGCATTTGAAAGAAGACGAAGGATTTTTTTTTTTTTTTTCCCAGGGGAAACTGTAATTTTTAATTAGTGTTACAATTTCCTAACTCACAATTTACCAGAGGGCAGATTTGGACACGTAAGACATGTAGATAGAATTTCTTCCTCCCTTCCTTCTGGCCAACTCTCCCACAGTATTGCTTTCATTTGTTGATCCTGTGCTGGAAGTAGTCCTTGTCAATAAGCTTTAGCTCTTATTAAACGTGAGTAGGAGAGGGAAAATACGCTGCATATAACCATCCAACAGTAAGTGAATAAGATGAATCAACAGAACACAACACAAGTAGGTCAGTAATTGTTTGTAAAGTGTCAGCATTGTAAGCTTAGTTGGGAGTGTGAGTAGAGTAATTTATAATTCCACCTACAAGAGTTTCAGAATTGCAAGTATGTGCACATTAGACATGAAACTCGAATGATGTTCCTAGATAAAAAACTGCAAAGCTGTGACATTTACTCCTCCCTGGTAAATCATTCCTCTCAAGAAGTAAAGTAAAACCCAAACCAAATGCCAGTTCTTGTTACCATTCTATCATATCTTCAGTTAAATACATTGGAATCAATCCGGTGTTACAGGATTGCAAAACAGTAGTAATGTATTGTACCTTATGTAATCACAGTCTTCACTGAATTATGTGAGCTCTGTGCACAATAATCACACTGTTCAACTGAAAGATACAGTAAGAATTTGTGGATGAATGATTCTTATATTTGAATATTTTACTAGGCTGTCAGTTTTTGCAGAAAACTGTGTGTATTGCAATCATTCTTTAAACTTGCTCAGGTACCGTAAATTGAGCCCTCAACATTTCTGTGTGAAATGTTTTGGTGTGTTATGTTAGAGCAATGAAAATATGAATTCCTAAAGAATGGGAATTTAGTGTCAGGTAATACAAACTCACACTGAACAAAAAGTGCACTCGCCGCCCTTACTTTCACTCCCTTGCTCTGGAGCTGATCACTCTAGCTAGCTAATAAGATACATATTTAATTTAGATGGATTCAGTTCTAGAAATTAAACACAAAATTATGTTGAGTGATGGGAGACTGATGTAGCTGCATGTGAGAAAGGAACACTCAAATGAAAAAGCAGCAAAAAAAGCAACAAAACAGTATGAATAAATGCATGCATTTTTAAAAAATAATGGCTTCTTTGTAGCTTCTTAATGTTCGAGGTGATATCTGCTGTGGTACATAATATGGTTTATTTGCCTCTGTTCTTCACAGGTATGGTTTCGTGGTGGGGCATATTGTTATCCCCCGGATCAATCCATATCATCTTTGTGCAGCAAATAACACTGGCATTTACAAACTCTCAGCAAACACAACTGCCCGGTATGATGCATACTGTTACAATGCGACAGGTAAGGAGATGATTTTATGCTGCATTTTAGAAACAGATTAACTAAAAATAGCATATGCAATCTCCTATTTGAGGTACTGGGATGAAGGCTTATATAATAAACATAGCCTGGTTTTCAGCTGAGAAGAAGTACATTTTGTCAGCCTCTGGAAGCATATCTGTCACGTCAGCAACGACCATTTTGTTATCAGTGTGTTTGGAGCTAAATCACTTTTCTGGCCTTGGGACAAACTTTGCAGCTTCAGAACAGTTCATTATAATGGCTTAGTGAAGTGAACCACTGCAGCAGTGAATGTGGCAGACATAACTGTTGTCAGTCCTGGCACTCAGCTCTTCTGTTCATGCAGACATGAGCTTTACAGCCAAGAGCAGTTTTTTGTGTTTTGGGAGTGGTTGCCACCTGCAGCAGCTCCAATGCCTGAGATGGCTATCCCAGACCCATGGACGCGGCTGCTGCTCTCCTGTTTGCAGATTCATTCTGTATTTGCTCAGGCAAATATCCATTGAGACATGAGGCAGCTGGACAGCAACGTGTGTCAGCAGCAGACTGTTTTCATCTAAGCTTTTGAACTTTTTAATAGTTGGAGATATTGTAGCGAATTATTAGGAAAGTGTATATAGTCTGTGACAGATGCTGAACACACTGTTTGAAAATAAAACCTAAACTAACTTCAAGGATCTTGAATTTCAGTAGATTGTGACATTCGTAGTGGAGGTAGAGATTTCTTACAGAAAGCTGCAGGAAAAGTTCATCGATCATTTGAATGCAGTGATTTTTTTAAAATTTTGTTCTTGGTAGTGGTATAATTAAAAATCTCTGCATTGGCATAGTATCCTGTGAATTGCCATTGTCTGTCTCTCACAGGATCTGAAGGAGATGCTGTCCATCTCCTCCAGATCTTTATAACTCCTCCCAGGGATTACTCCCTAGCAGCAGTATGAGGAGGTAGCTTGCACACCAGCCCCAAGTGGGGCGCTTCAGCCCACAGGAGCCAGCGGTGCTCACCAGAGCAGGGCATCGCTGCCTCTGCCGAGCCCTCCGTGGAGGGGACGGAGTCTTGCCAGCTAAAAAAGATTAGAGTTGCCACTGCCACAATGACAGTGGGTCTGACTGCCTTGAAACTATGTCTTAAGGCTGTTTTAGCTGGCACTGATTGCAGATGTGTTCTGGAATGGTTATGGAAATGGAGCATCTCGTTGTTAGCTGACGGAACAATCTTGAAGTGTCCCACCTGGGAAGGTAGTACATCAGTGAATAACATTTGTTTGGAAATTTGCTTTCAGTCCTCCTCATCTGAAGCTGAGGTTTTGTCATTATGTACAATTGATGCAGGTATACACGTGATTTTTTAATCCATTTTTTTCAAATTAATACTTTTTATTTTCCTTCTTTCACAGAAACAGAGGAAAAAACATGTGAGCCAGTTGTAAAAATAGATACTTCCTTACTCAGTAATCAGGATGAAACAGGTACTGTACTGATTAGAAAGACATGCACTTGCTCTTTTTTTAATAACTTGTTATCTTATTTTTACATAAACAATCAATAATATTAAAAAAGCCAAGCCAAACATAAGAAAAAGAAGTTAAGAGATGTTCAATAGAAATTAAAGAAACTAGTCACTTGTCTTCCCCTAAAGCCTATGGAGTTTGGTTTATTTCAGGGTACATGAAACATTTTTCTATAGGCATTTGATGTTTTTGGCACCTCAGGGCTGCTAACATCCCTTTGACATAAAGAATTTGCTTAAGACTGCAACCTTCATACATCTGATTTGAGCTGTTGTTAGAAAAGCTGCTGGAAGCTGAAAAAAGGCTCATAATAAATTATTTCTTCCAACTCTAAATGCTGATTGACTTTACAAATGCCAAGACATTTTGTTAAAATCAAGCTGTTTGATAAAAATAAGTGATGCAAATCAGGCCCCACAAATGCAAAAAATATATAAATTAGCACATATGCATTAGACATATTTTAGTGATATATTACCTAGGTTAGATAGGAGGGCAAAAACGGGTGAACTGGTATTAATCCATAGGCATTAGTCTTTATTGTAGCTGTGTGGCTCCTTGGCATTAATTCCGTTTAATTCCGTTTCCGCAGTCATTGACAACGCAGACGGCTCCCGTTACAACGCGGACGGCACACGTCACACCGGTGGAGAGTCCTCCACCTCTGGGGTGGATGATGAAAATGCAGGCAGTGGATCAACTCATGAGACAACTCCCATGGATGCCTCCATCAGCAGGTCCAGCCCCTTGTATTATGGAAGTCCTACTCCAGTCTCACAGCTGCCAGATCATTCTTCTGGAGGAGGTGAAAAAGGAATTCCTGGAAAAGACTATGGTAAGGACAGTAGGTTGACACTAATTTCATGGGGCCCTGCCAAATACAAATGCCATGTTCTTTTCTACTAATTTTATTTAATTTTTTCGGTTGCTTGTATGACTGAAATTATCAGAAGTCTGAAAGACTTGCTCCCACTGAACATTAGGGATACAGATATAAGTCATCCTCTATGTACAGTAAAGCTTACTGTGTGACTACAGGCTTTTTATCAAATCACCAATAAATTACCAGTGAAGGATACCAGTATTTTACATCACTATCCTCAATGCATACTGAAATTAACGAAAAAAAAAAAAAGCAAGAGCATCAGGATTATAAAATTAATTTTCACTGGTGGTGTACTCATGGCATGTTTTGCTTGTTTTGACATGTAGCTAGTACCATGAAAGGTAAAGCCTAAGACTGTCTTACTAAGAAACTAGGATGAGAAACATTCCCCACATTCCCCAAGGTGTGTGCTGTGTGTTTCTGTTGGTTGCTGTTACAACTGTTACCATGTCTGCTTGCATGCATAGTCTAGATTTTTGGGCTAAACCTCAGAACATATCTCAGCAGAAGGGAATAGCTTCACTCATTGCTCTAGAATCCCTGTCCTCACCATGTACAGGTACAATGAAAGCTTGTATCACATAAACAGATCATTGCCAAAATATTCATTATCACTGTAATATATTCTCTTCTTCAAATTATCTGTTTGGGTGATACACTGTGTTAGTGAGATAAGCTTATGTGGGGTCTGCATCTTTCTCCTCTCTTGGACCAATAAATGAAGGAATGAAGCTTGCAGGGTAGAACAGTTAAAGTCCTTGTGAGTACTGTATTGCAGCTGAGCTCATGAAATAGTAATGATTTATCCATCACCATACAGATGATGAATTTACATCTGTATCACCTGACATCTCTTTCGCGACGGTGGCTGGTGATTTCCATGAAGAAGATGACGGACAGTATCCTGCAAGTACTAGTAAGATCTATGTTTCATAATAACTACATTACACATTGATCACATTAAATCTGCTTTCTTCTTCCAGAAAGGCATTCTGGTAAGTGGTGAAGTATACAACATCTCAAAAATTGGAAAGACATTGAAATAGATTACTTTCTAGACTGGTTAAGGGGGAAATGAACTTCACTCTCTAAGACAAGAGGAGCAAAATAATTTACAGTTTGTTTGCTTTAATGCTTGTACCTGCGCTCAGAAAGATTGCTGGTTCGGGTTTCCCACAGCTGGTTTATCACTTTATGAGGAATCACAAATTAATACAACCTATTATCACTTGACGTCAATTTATTTCTGAGGTAAAAAAGGATATTTTTGTATATTTATGCAGTTATTCTAATACATTTGTGGTTGTGAATGTAGATAATCTGTGTCAAAACTTTGGTTCTGCTAGCCAAGAAAGTTCTTTTATATGGTAGTTCCAGCTACCAAGCCATTTGTGCACTGCAAAAACAAATTTCATCCTTGCTGTTGGCATAAGAAAAAACTGTGGGCTGTTGTGGCTCCACAGTCTTTGAGGACCCAAAAGAACAGTAGCCATTTTCTCTTCTTTGTCCTTAAATAGCTTTACTGAGTTGGAAAAACTGCTTGTGATGTTTTTATCAAATATGTAGTGCACAGCAGCTGCAATAAATAAAAAGCTTTTGAAGTGTTCTTCCACATTTTAAAGTGGAAATAATGTACATATGTTCACACTAGTTCTTATGGCTAGAGTGATAAAGATCTTTGCCTCAGAAAATAAAGTGAACCTAAAGGGAGAACATTTTAATTATACAGAGGAAATCTACAGAGGCGTGTTGTAGTAAAGATCAAGCTGATAGAAATGAAAGTTTCTTCTCACTGGCTCTTTTCCTTTTTGTTTCCCCATGAGGGGAATCCATGTTGCTTGGTTGTCTGTAGGTTGCTGATAGTTGGTCTGAGTGACTTGGAGAAATGGTACCTTCATCACTGTATTTAGAGGAAGAATGATTGTATGCATTACAGTTGGCAAAAACTTTGCTAAAACACATAAATTAATAAACCCAAGCATCTTTTCTCAGAAGACGTGAAGATTAGTAGCGCCTTATAAGTATATAGATAGAAAAAGAAATAATAGGTTGATTTTACCCCCAACCTTGAAAAAAAGTAGAGAATTTTCTGGTACTTGTTTCCAGTGAAAGCTTTTGTTACAAAATGTTGCCTGTAAGGGGTGGAGATTTCAGAGTAGTGGGGAGTTTGGTGACTCTGGTGGTGATTTTTCCTTCCTATATGTTTGCTTTTGTGTGCACATGTGACTTAATGTTTCCTTGTGCTGGTGTTTCTGTACCCACTGCAAAAACCTGTGCATTGTTTCTGTACAGGAAAGCTTTCTGTTTTCATTTTAATACTTGATTATCAAATGTATTGGTCCTAAATATGTATGTCCCTTCCTCTTGCTAGCAGTTCTCTCTCATGGACAAGAGTGTTTTACAGAGGGAAAACTGGAGATATTTAAGATCTGAAAAGATCAAAGAGACTATAGGGCAAAGTGATAAAATGTGTCAATACTGATAAATGTGTATCATAGAAGTGATAACATTGGCATGTTTGTTTACAGGGTTAGGATTGATAAACTGGTTCTCTGGAGAAAAAAAAAATAATAATGAAAGTAATGCTCCTGGGCGTTTCTAATAGCTTTGGCTGTTACCCAGCAACATCACTTTAACACAGAAGTATTTGACTCATTTAGTTTAATTTTACTGCATTATAGATGAATCAGTAACCTAGCACTCCTTTTAGAAAGACATAAAGTATAACCTGTGCATCTCTCTGAGAAGTCATTAAATGTTCAGTAGCACAGAAAGTGACATGGATAGCAGTCCAAAATAGAAGGAATAAAGCCATGTCCCAATATCTGTTACTTAGTTTGTATAGCAGTGCAGGCTCAGTGGAATATCCTGGCCACAATTTAATTTCCCAGAGAAAAATCCCACAGATGGGGAAGTAGAAAAATAAGAAAAAAGTAAAGAAAAGTATTTGTCATGTATCTTCAGATAGATGGCTGAAAATCAATCTGTCTATCTATCTATCTATCTATCTATCTAATTCTGTAGAGTGTTAAAGTGAGAAACAAAATTGGTGGCTCTCCACTGTACTACAATTTGTAAAGTTAAAGTTTTTTTAGAAGATAGCTTAATCTAAAGAATTCTGTGCTATGGATTGAAATGAGCAATTTGCACAGGTCCTTGTTCTTCAGATGACACAGAATTAATTATTTCGCTGGATTTGGACATCACTGGTGGTGTGCTCCATCAAGTTAATGGGCCAGATTAATACAACATCATCACTTTACCACTGACTTCTCTCCATGCCCAAGCAGGTTTCACTCTTTGTTATTAGCAAATTATGATTCACCTCTAGGTGTGCCATGAATCAGATGTAAGACTCTTTATTGATTAATGAGCTACCTACATGAACAGTAACTCAGACTGATTTTTTGTCATCCATGTATGATAGACACATTTATAACTATTTGCGTATCTATACTTATTTGAATGCATAGTGGAAGAAAAGACTGTAGGATCCTGTAATTTTTCAAAGCAGAAATGTCTTTCCATTCAGAAATATCTATCACAAACCTGTAGAACTTAATGTCTGATATGCTGTGTTGTGAGGAAATGTTGTGAATTGGTAATGTGAAAGGAGTAAAGCAGGGCCTCTCTCCCTGTGACATACTAATGCCTGCCTGGAAAGTGGTTCTGGTATAAAATTAGCAGCCAGCATCAGGATAAGGGGAGTGCATGTGCCTTTTGAATGGCCTCAGTTCTGACCTCAGGTTCTTGGCAGCACTGGCTTTGCAGATACTTCTTATATCTTTTGATTTTTTGTCATCTTGGTGGAAGTTCCTCATTCTGGGCTCTCTTTCAAAGACTATCTATTCTCTCCTGCTGTCAGAGCTTGTGATTCACTCATTAACCTTAGGGAACGTGGAGGTGTGAAAAGCCCCACAGGGCTTTTTGGTGGCTGCTCTCGAGGGAGCATGTTCTTTCCTGGGACTGCCAAAAGTGCTTGCATCTGGCTAGGCATTGGAGGAATGTAATGACACCACGGGTTCATACATTCACCCTGCTCTCACACCCATCTCTGGGCATGAGCCTGCTCAAGGTGCTGGTGCTGGTGGACTGGACTTTGCTGGAGGAAGAGTTGTTTCTCAAGAAATAATCACAAGATCTTGGTTAAATCATTATGGATACTTCTTTTGAATGGGATTTTATGTAATCTTGGTGGAAGTTCCTCATTCTGGGCTCTCTTTCAAAGACTATCTATTCTCTCCTGCTATCTGAACTTGTGAGTCACTCACTAACCTTAGGGAACGTGGAGGGGTGAAAAGTCCCCCAGGGCTTTTTGGTGGCTGCTCTCAAGGGAGCATGTTCTTTCCTGGGACTGCCAAAAGTGCTTGCATCTGGCTAGGCATTGGAGGAATGTAATGACACCACGGGTTCATACATTCACCCTGCTCTCACACCCATCTCTGGGCATGAGCCTGCTCAAGGTGCTGGTGCTGGTGGACTGGACTTTGCTGGAGGAAGAGTTGTTTCTCAAGAAATAATCACAAGATCTTGGTTAAATGAGCCATGTCCTAACAGCTGCAGGGCCTCATCATGACATCCTGGAGAAAACCACCACTGAAGCTTGGTGGAATCCATTCTCAGACCACTGGTGGTGGTCGAATCCTGGAGAGGAGACGCAAGAACCCACGCCAGCAACCAGGGGTAAAGAATGCCATGCTCAGAGGCTGCTTTGGTTGGGGGCTGAATTACCAGAGAGCAGGGCAGCAAGGTGAACAAACTCTAAGTGGAACAGGGGATGAATATGTGCCATTTCTCACTGCTGTTCATGGCACCGTGCTTGAAGCAGGAAAAGCAATGTCCCGGGCTCCCTGTCACTGATTTTACACGTGGCAGCAATAGAGCAGTTGTCCACTCTGTCTGTGTGCCATGGAGGCATTCTGGCTGTCTGAAAGGGATGAGTTTGGGAATCATCATGGAAAGCATGGACCTGGGTCTTTCTTTCCTCCTGTTTTGGAGCAGAGTGTTCCAATGAGAAGGACTTGTAAGGGAGAGGAAGGAAAGGATTTCAAACCAGTACTCTGCTCTACCTGCTATATGCTGTGAGCATGCAGAGGGTCCCAAAATGAATCTAAGAGCTCTAGAGGGGCAGCTTCAGCAGGGCCATGGCAGAGTGGAGAATCCCTTGGGAGTGAAAAGGCCAGGAGCAGCTACAGCCCCTGGGAAGCACGGGGCTGTAAATTCTTCTCTGTGATTGTGAGGCTGTGAGTAGGGGAGGCAGGAAAGCTGAAGTGCCAGCAGCAGAAGGCCTTGTGGGTTAGGGCTTCATGGCAGATTTAACATCATCACAGCAGGTGTGACCTCCAGTGGCAGTGATTCAGATGATGAAGACTCTTCTGAGGAGATTGTGTATCCCACAATGTTTCCAGGCTGGGGCAGGAGTGTGGCCAAGGACGAGACTGCTCCGAGTCCCAGTAAGGTTCTTCTCTTTTCTTTGGATTTTCACTTTCTTCATTTTCCTGTCCTACCTGATGCACCTCCTTCTTTGTCGCTCATATGTTGCTTGAAAATTGAATGATCTTCTCATCAGCTGTTGCCTTCATAAATACTTTTTGACTGGAAAATTATCTCAGGTCTCTAGGATTAAATAATGTCTGTTCTTTCACTACTTAAAATTAGTATCTCAGTTTCAGTTTAGTCAGATGTTTGTATTTACTCATGATTTTTCAAGGCTAAAAGTTTATCTTTCTTTCTATTAGTTTATTTTATGTATTAAAATAATTCTAGGTCATATTATATGTGACCTTCATCTATTCAATAGTAGACTTCCTTTCTGTGGAAGATGCTCAGGCACTGTTTGGAAAGGCCAAACCCCAAGTCCTTTTTTCATTGGGAATTGTCAACAAAACAGTCTCATGTTTGCTACCTTCTGCACACTTCCCATGCAGTCTTCTAACATCATCTCATTTGTTTCGTGATCTCAGATGTCTAGGCATCATCCAGTATTACAACTAAGATGTTTTAATACGTAGCCTTGTTTTCCTCATATGAATAGTCCCACAGTGATCATCTGAGAACCCTTTTTTTTTTATTCAAAAGCCATCCATAGATGAAATAACTTTGTCTGAAAACCAGAAAAGGTTCAAGGTAAATGCTAGGCGTCACTGAAGTACAGAAACTGCTACTTGGCTTTATGACCAGGGAATGTCCCCAGCACTGGTGGTTTTTTAGCATGGATGTTGCTCTTAATGACTACACTCTAATGATCTTACTTGTACAAAGATATTAATCTCTTTTATTTCTGTAATTTTATTTAATTTAAGTACATCTTAGTGTGTCTATTGTCTTTGCTCTTATTTAATCAGCAGTCACTGTTCATAAGACTTTTATTTTTTTGAAGGTAGTGCAGTATTTGCATTTTTCAGCGGCAGTTTCCATTTTTAGTAGAAAATGCACAATCAGGAATTCATCTTGCTTTGGGACTTCTTATGTTTCTTCCTATGCTTTGGATAGTTTTGGTGTTTATTTATCTTTGAGACTAAATTGGTAACTTGTGCCACAGGTGTACTGCATTCCATACCTTTGACAGCCTAGTGGTGTCTGCATGATCCACGGGTGAAAGTGTATTCAGTTTCTGGTCACAGACTCTTGTAGAAGTTCTGTTTTATCTTTTTAATTGTATTACTACTTTCTAATATTGGCTTCCTGGTGCTTGTCAAGGTGCTCTCATTTTTTTGCTGACCACTGCTTTTTTGCTCAGTCAAGGATATTCTAACATGGTGCTTCTCGAGTACTTAGCAAGCATGTTTTGTGTGTATAGAGATTTCTGCCATATTCCTTAGGTCCAGCATTATTCTTGAAACATGAGTTTAAATTTCTACAACTGCTCTAAATTTCTACAACTTGCATTGCTTCTACTGTGCATTATTCTTCTGCTGCTTGTTTTTCCCATTTTTCTTGGGAAACTGCATCTGTCAATTGCAAAGAAAAGAGCAACTGGTTTGATGTGAATGGATTTGATAAGAAGATTAAAGATACTATAGCTAGGCTGTGCAAGAACTTCCATTTTCCATCATGTTTATGGCGCACATGGACAGTAGATTTAGAGCATAGTCAGCTTTGTATCCTCCATTGTCCCAACAGCTGTGGACTCACAACACGAAACATTTCTGGAAATCACCACACAAGACCATTGGAACCCCACCTTTACTGATGAAGAGGAGCAGTATCCTAGCTCTGCTAGCAAGGGTAAAGCAATCAAGCATTTCAGATAATATTCAGATTTCTGATATAATTCAGTGAAGTTTGGCACTCAGGGTGCAGCTGTTTGTAATTCCCACACCGTTAGCCTCAGTTTATCAGTTCAGTGTAATACCTTACATTATTTGTACTAGAGCCCTCAAAGGTGGCATCTATAACATTCATCTGTCATTTCAAGTCTATCTTATGTATCTAAAGTTCATTTCTTGCCACTTCTCCTGACATTTCTGGTATTTTAAAATTTTCACTGCCAGTAGTTTGCAATAATACAGAGTAGACTGTAACTTTTGGTGAGAAAAAAAAATCACTTTTTCCATTTCAAAAGTTCTATTGTAAAATCTGAAGACAAAAGATAAAAAAGGGAGCTAGTGTTTCCAATACATAAATTGTCCTACAAAGAATAATATATTACCTCCAGATGAACTGGAGGTGAACATTTTGCTACCAGTGTCAGTGCCAGTAGCCAGATGAGATACCACAATGTTCAGTTCTGTGGGCAGAAGCTACAGAGTGCATTCTCAAGCTATTTTTCTGTGTCTTTCTGGTTCTGAGATTGTTTTGAACAGCAGAAGTTTATGCAGCTGGCATTAGAACAGATTCTGTAATCACACAGAAATGGTTTTTGTGATAACTTTCTTTTAGTGTTAGTGAAGTATTGTTAGATCAGTTCTATTCATGCATTGATTATTATTACCTCTTTTTTTGTAAGACAATGTATATGTATTTTGTTTAATTTAAAAATAATGAGCTACATTTGCATGAGCGCTGTCTTTACGAATATTTCATTGCCTGAATGTGAAGATAAATACTCCTCCAGTTTTTCTCTTCTTGGGAAATAGCGCAGTTTCTCTCTCTGGTAACTTATGACATATATGACATATCCAGCTCATTCTTTGCATGCTCTGATTAAGGACCTTAGCTTTACTTTTATATACCACTCATGGAAATGTTTGATACTTAAGGCAAATATATTTCCAGCTGAGTTATTTAGCTTATCTTAGGTTTATTGATGCATCTTTTCCAAACATTGTTTAGAACATCTCTTATGGTGGTGGTACTTCAGCTGATTTCTGACTGCATCTTCTGCTGTGTAAACAACAGCAAGTTAAAGAGTAAATAGTGAGTTAATTTCATTGGTAAGAGCTTTAATTATTACTGAGTCCAAAATAAGTATGCTTATCTACTTATATGAACCTGCTTATTTAACTCATCCAATCTCAGAAGAAATTGCAATTTCCTTAGGACCAGCTTTGTAATTATGCAATTGAGATAACTCAAAAGAAAAGTTTCATCAGTGTTTTACTTTAAAAACACAGAATACAAACAAACTCAACAATTAAGTTTGTATTAATAAATGTGAAATAGAGATGCAGGCTGTTGTTTCTATGAGCTCTTCTGGTTCTTGGATATCTATTGTCTCCCACTGGTCATTGGGATCCTTTCTAGTGTACTTGAATCTTCTGCTGCTCCTGGTGATGCTTTTGTGTGATAGGGTTTCCAAAGGACTTCTGTTTTTTTTCATCTTTCATTTCACATGAAATGCAACAACAAGAAAAAGCCAAAACACAAAAGCCAAGCACTCTTGTTATGTAGACCATAATGATAAGGAAAATATGATGATGTTGAGTATTTTGATCATTATTGATTCAATCACAATCTTACCAGCACTAGTTACAAGTGAAAATGAAAAACATCAAGGACCAACCCAACATCCACTATTACACAGCCTTCATTCTGGAGGGATCAGTCAAGAACAAAATCCTGCAAATACCACTGGCAGTATTGAACAACATGAATTTACTACTGCAGGTGAAAATTATTTTGGAAAGGAAACTTCTACAGGTAATATTGCAGGTCACATTTTAGTAAATTTTCAGGGTTTTCTAAAGATGTAGTTTTAGGATGTTTTACTAACATTTTTGCATTCTGATGTCATAACACAGGTTCTGTGAACAAATCTTAGCAATTTTGATGTTATGTTATTATTTTTTTAATTAGTCTATTCTTCAGACTTTTCGTGGATGTTTCTCTTCTATTTGTCTTGCATGTCAAGACCTTTAGTAGGTTAATTCTTTAACTGTCTCCTACGTTTTGTGTTGTGTGTCATGCAGTCACAAGCTTTCAACAAGCTGTCTGCCAGGGTTTTGTCTGCAGCAAACAGAGAAGGCTTAAATGGAAAAACAATAATCTGTGCTGCATTTTTTACTCCTTTGGCAACTGTGTTCACTCCCCTGTTGCAAGCTGTTCTCGGCCCTGGGATTTTGTTTCCCAGTTTTCGTTAATGACAGTTTAATCTAAAAAAAATTATCTAAAATGTCTTCTCATCCCACTTTTAGTAAGATGAAGAGAAGAAAACAAAGTATAATGTAAAATAAGAGAGGCATCTCTCGTTCATTGGTTGAATCAATTGAAGCATAAAAGATCAAATTATACTGTAAAGGTGGTAACTCAAAATTGATATATTTTAATTTCTGCTCCTGTGAGCGCACCAGACTTAGGAGTTTATGACAGATATGCTGTACTAAGCACTGCCAACAGTGAATGCAGTCATCATCCGCTCTTGTGGATTATAAAATACAGGTCTCTGATAATCTGTTATACTACACTGCTCTAGCAATACATAATGGCCTAATTGCAATTAAAATTGTAACACACTGTGGCAAATTTCTTGAGCTCCCCCCCCCCCTTACTGGGTTGAAGGGATTAAGAAGGTTTAATGCTTTTCACACAATTTGGGTACTCTTTTGCTATGGTTGTGTAATAAAATCAGCAGGTTGGTTGTCATGGATGGTGTTTTTCTAAATAACTACAAGATCAGATATTCTCCAGCTATATGCTGTCTTATTTATTGTGTGCCCCATTCATAAATCTGACCCATGACCTAGCATTACCCTTTGCCACACCTCTTTGTCTGTTTTCCTGGAGATGCTGCAACTAATGAAACAGAGAAACTTTGAGGAGAAGAAATTGGATATAGTCAACATACTCAAATTATGTGTTTAAAGTCTTACTGATGGGTCATATCATTGCAGTTATTTATGTCTGAAGTTTTTGTTTCTGCATCAGCAAATTTTGGTTTAATATTCAACCTTACAAAATCGACAGCAAGATTCAGATAAATACTTTTGAAAAACAGTAAGACACCTTGATTCTGAAAAGCATATGCTCAGTTTGAGGAAGGATTTGGTCCTACTGATGACAGTAGGCAGCTTTTCTAAGTATGAACCAGGATGAGAAGCAAATCTACTTTACTTCTCTTTGCCATTAAATGTAGTAGGCATGTGAGCAAGACCTGTCATAGAGACAAGAACTGAAGAGGAGAATAATGTGAGAAATGGATCTTTGTATACTGAGTTCATAATTGCTTCACCATCATCATAACAGCTATGGTCCCCAGCCGTGGGGCCAAACAGAACGACTCAGCGCAAGACCCAGTGGTGTATCCAGGCTGGGATGAGGGAGAGGATTATGCCACACAGCCTGCTGTAATGGATAGAGTTATTCCTTCCAGAGAGAGCAATCATGAAAGAGAGTCTTCCACTACAGGTACTAGTAGTAATGTCTCTTATGTATGTTGCATCACTTTTGTCTCTCAGATGGCCTCTCCTGGAAAGATATTGCGTGAACTTGTAGACGGGAGTAGTTACTGATCTCTTAAAAGAATCTCATAAACTGTGGAGTGATTAATTTTCTCTGTGCCTTGTCTGGATGGTGGTGAAACAGAAGATTTCAATTTTAGCTAGCTCCATACAAAACATTTGTTCTTTACTTGCCAACACACCTTATAGGGCTTTTCTTTCCTTAGTGAAGGATGGCTGTGAAATTGATTTCAGCTCGTTACATAAATTATATTATTTGGTGCTGCCAGACTGTCTTTATCATGAAGTTGAATCCATAGTTATGCATATTTGTACCTCAAGAGGTTAATCCATTCTCCAGGTGAATATTCACCTAGAGAAAGAGTGTTCTTTTCATAGATTTTATTGAAATATTTATCCCTCTGGTTCATTCATAGAATGATGAGAGGCAGGAATCTATAAAACTGGCATGACACAGCATCATGATGCATTCTCATATAACACAGTATTTTTAACATCAAATAGTGTTCTAAAAACATGGTATGATCTCTTCTTCTGGAGGTCTCTCCATCTGCCACTGGAATCTGTATATTTTGCCAACATCTTGCTCCAACATGCTGAGCTTAAATGTGGAGCTTCAGGGTCTGTCAGAAGCCAGTGACAGTGTGGAGAAAGAAGAAGACACCTTCATTTCTTCTTGACTGTCAGTGTTTCAGTATTGATACCTGTAACGTGAAACACACTGTAAGAGCAAGTGACAGCGCCAAGGAAGCTGAGACTCTGTATGTAGCCTGGGATGCAGGTCAGGGAATCCTTCTGACTGCTGCCTCTGTGTCTTTCCCTGGGTCCACTGCCCTTGGGAATCTTTTTAATTAAGTAAAAAAAGTGGACAATAACAGAATATGGATATGTCTTACAGAACTGTGAGAGAGCAGTGATGATGTACACAAGGTCTCCCTTCTCTGCCCTTTTTGTGGAGAGAAAAGTGTAACAGTGCTTTAAGGGGAATAGGAGGCTCAGATGGGATGGTAATGGGAAGGCCACAGCAGCACACACATGGAATTCACAGCTATTAAATAATCTGTGTTTAAATCATCTGTTATTAAACCATCATAGCAGCTGTTGCCTCTCCTGATGGTGCCCACCACAAAGAGCCAACTCAAGCACTTCTGCCTTGGGATTATGAAGCAGAAGTGAGCACTGAAGGCATCACGAATCCCACGGATGCCCCTGGGGATGAAGTTCTCCACAGGACCACAGGCACTATGATCAAAGCTGGTAATGACTCTCCTCCGATGGGTTGTGGTAAAAATAATGGATTTTTACCACAAAACTCATTTCTCATGTCTGGTGTGAAATGAGACGTTATTTCTTCTGAAACTGACTTCTTTCCTTGTCTTTCTCATCTTTAAAGTGTGCATTCTTGTTGTGAAATTGCAGTGCAAATGTTTTTATGATTTTGTTGCATGTGAATATCCCAACAAGAATTCCTGTCTGTTTAAGGATTTTTTTTTTCCTATGTGCCCTGTTTCTTATGTCCCATGACTCTGCTCAGGTGTATTTTTAACTGAGAAAGCAGTTGCTTTTTGGAGGTGGCTGGTAGTGTAAATGCTTGTTTTTCATGCCTGGTCATTCCTGGTCTTAATATTTCAACATACTCTCTTAATACTGTAAAATTTAAAATAATTTATTGGAGTTTTTTCATGTGGTTCTGCAAGGTTCTATCTTAAATTCCCAAACTCTGCATGTTATCCATTTAAAATTATCCTGATTCAAAATACTGCTTTTTTATTTAATACAATAAGATTTTTTTTTTTTTTTTTATCATACTGTAGTTGTTTGGAACTTCTTGAATCTTTTCTTCCTCCATTTTCTAAAAAAGACATTCTGAGGAAAAATTAGCTGTTAAACTTTTGAGTTTTTATCTGGATTATTTAATCCTCAACATTTAGGATTTGACGGAGAGCTATAAAAAATACAAATTGTGTGGATTATAAATACAGTTTGTAGATTAAAAAGTTTGTGTTCTCTATTATCTGCTCATGTTTTCTAAATATGAATGAGATTCTGTAAAGTTCCCCAGTTCACTGTTTTCAAGCTTTATGAGGTTTGACAGGTCAGTTGCAAAGATGAAAACCCACGTATGATTTTGCATTTTTTTCAGATGTTATTAATTAAGTCATTCTAATCTGATTCCTGTGTAACAACAGGAATTCTTATACTCATTCTGAAAATAATATTGCTGTTTTCTCACTTCTGAACAGTGTTCACTAGATATTTTCAAGACCAGTATTTTAGGCTGCATTGTGAATATTAGTGAAGGAAGAGACAAGCCAAAAAGAGTGTCATATGCAGAGGATATTCTTTGCTTGAGGCTTTGTTTTGTTTTGTTTTTCTTCTCACTGCATAGTCTACGTAGGCAAATAAATTAAAAAGGTAGAGTTTACTAGAAATAAATATACGTAAGGTGCATTTTTAAAATATTTTTGAAGTTAACTTGGCCATCATCACAACAGTCACAGCCTCCACTGACATTCTGGCACCAGAAGATATAACCCAGGAAGTATGGGCACCTCACCTTGTGGTAACAGCTGCTTCCTCTCCTGGTGGTGCCCACCACAAAGAGCCAACTCAAACACCTCTGCCTTCGGATGATGAGCCAGTTCAGGGCACTGAGGGCATCACAAATCCCACGGATATGCACAGAGATGAAGTCCTCCACAGGACCACAGCCAGTGTGACCAAAGCTGGTAATGACTCTCTTCTGATGGGTACCAGTAAGAATAATGGAGCATTCTCATTTCTCATGTCTGGTGTGAAATGAGACATTATCTCTGCTGACGATTACTTCTTTCACTATCTTTCTCATCCTGGGGATCTTCATTCTTAGTGTGGACTTGCAGTGAAAAATCTGTCGTAGGATCTGTGAACAAGGCATAAGGGACTCTTTGCTGGTGCACCTGGTGGTTTCTGACCTTTGCTGAAGCATGTTCTTGGGTGATCTCCCAAATGTTCTGTGAAACATGCACTTTGGTGATTCTGAATCCCCAGCCTCGTCTTCCTTTCTTGTGCATCAGTGGGATCAGACTGGATATGCTTTGGCACCATGGCTGCTGTGGTGGAGGTGCTCTGGCAGGTTAATCAGATGACTTGGTCCTGAAACTCAGCAGCAGCACCATCACTGGGCAGTGGTGTCCCAGTGGTGAGGGCAGTGCGTTCATAGAAGAATTACATCCCTTAAATTCTGCCATCAGTTTCTTCTCTTCCCGTGTGTATTGCCAGGCAAGACCGACAGAGGTGAGGCTGCTCACTCCTGAGTTACAGGGTCAGGTTGTTGCTGCTAAAGTCTCTTCTTCTAAAGGTCTCCCCTTTCCATCTGTCACTGGGATCTGTATATGTCGCCAGCATCTTGCTCCAACATGCTGAGCATAGATGTGGAGCTTAAGGGTCTCTCAGAAGCCAGTGACAGTGTGGAAGAAGAAGGAGAGGCCTTCATGTCTTCTCCCCTCCTTCTGTGCTTTGCATGAGGAAGGTGAAGGTGCTTTCTGGCTTGCTGTAGCCCAGGAAATGATGTGGGTGGTGGTTTTTGTGAGTGCTCTTGGTCATGCCACCATTATGGCAGTCATAGAGTCCGTGGATGATGCTGACCAAGAGAAAGCAACCAAGGAGCCACTGACATCTGGCACTACCCCTGGAAGGGAAGGTGAACCAGCAAACACCACAGATGGTTTCCATGTCCATGGGATACCTGGAGTTTTTTCTGACGTTGAGGACCGTTTTATTCCCTTGCAGACTCCTCTTACTACCAGTAAGAACAATGAATTATAAACATTTTCATTTATCCATCAGTAAGTTGTTACAATGGCTATTGTCCAAAAATGTTTATTAAGCATAATTGTAAATAGTTGTCATATTATGATTTCCTTTTTGGGTTTTGTTATTGGTTTTAACCTGCTGATAAGATGTCATGAATAGTATCACTTTCTAGTAAAAGCATAGCTGAAGGCTGAAAATAGTGTTTTGCAAATAAGCTTTTCTTTTATTCCGTTATCAGCATGAGGTAACACAACTATTGAAATGAAGAAGTGCAAACTTTCTGCTCATGCCCATACATTTGTGATAGCATTTTTTCTTTCTTTTTTTGCTGAGCACAAATGACAGCTATGTAACCCTTAACTATCTGTCACTTTTTCCCCATTTGTACCCTTCTAAAGTAGCTGAATAGGTACGAAAGGTAATTCTCTGGCACCATTTTTCCCCTAGCTATATGTGCTGTTGGAATCTTTCCAGTGATTAATTGTAGCTGTTACTGGGCTGTAACTGACATTTCATTTGTGAACAGCCTTGTTTTTCAAAGGGTTATTCTTCTGATGAAGTTAGTGCAGTTAACAGTGTTTGCCTATTATACTACATACAGCCTTCGGGGTTTTTTTTTTATGTGTGGTCCCATGCTAATAATATGGGAAATGAAGGGACTTTTCCTTATTCCCAAATGTAGTTTCCATACAAGTAACCATGCTAACAGTAAGGGTTTTTTTTCCCAATTCAGCTAATCCATGTTTTCATGCACTTTCTTGGAAGTTAGTGGAACCATTCCAGAGCAGAATTTTGCCAATGCTCTGTGGACATTCATTGCGTATAAACAAGATTATGTACCTATAGTTTTACAGCATTATACAAAAAACACTTGAAAGCTAATTCTTTTAGTAATTCATTAATATTAATTAATATATTGTGAGGTAGAGCTTGGGCTAATTATTTTTCAAGAATTTTGTATAGGCTAGTAAATTCAACTCCAACAAAATTGCCTGATTGTAGTATTTTGACATAGGCATAGCACTATAAATGCAAAATATGTATTTGTCAGAATTTTATTGGAAAGCTAAATCTGTTTTAAATAATGTCTTCCTACTAAAACTCATTTCTTTCATTTCACAGGCCCTATTCACTTAATTAATTTAAACTGCCTTCTTAATTTTATGTGCAGACATACACTATGAAAAAATGTTCGCTACCTTTCTGTTTTGAGCACATAAAACCTGTAAGAACTGGTTTGAATCTTTTCCAGCAGGAATATCTTTCTCAGTGGGAATATTGTCAGTACCCTGGCAAAAGGCTCAGAAGGCCATTTTCTCCAAACTCTTCCTCTTTTCATTTACCTTGGTGCGTTTTAAGAACACAGTCTACAGGAATTACTAAGACCAATACCATTGTCATCAAAAAGCTTATTGAAGGGTTCATTCATCTGTAATGTTGCCCAGTATAGGTGAAATGGAATGGAAAAGATTCATGAATGTATTGTTAAAGGCCTTCTCTGGTCAAATGTATTGTTAAAGGCCTTCTCTGATCAAATGAATGGTTTGATGCACTTTACCACTTTTTTTCCACTTGCTTTTTTTTTCTACAGCAATGTTTAAGCTGTGGTCAGACCACTCTAAGTGTCCAAGTGCCCACAGAATCATGTCAGTCCACTGAAGGGACACAAAAAATAACTGTCTATAAAAAAAAATAAATCTGGTGTGTTACCAAAATGAAATGTGGAGGGCTTTTGAGGTTCCCTCCCTACCATTTGCAAGCACCTTCCCAGAGCCAGAACTGCAGGGAACGTGGCTGACCCTTGCTGCTTCTTCTCAGTGCTCAGGGGAGAATCAAATGTAGCAGGTTTCTAAGCACACAAATTTTAATAAATGTCTGAATGCCTTTCTAAGGTGTTTTGTGGAGGAAAAGCTCAAAAATCTGCTGAGACGTAGTGTAGACAAGTTAGTAGGTCTGTCGTGGTCAGCTTTCTTTGCTGCTGGATCAAGACTCTTCATTGCTGAATTTGTCTTCTGTCTGTTGTTGTGTGATAGCACCAAACAACACGCCGGTCAATAAGTTTCTTGTTAATAAAAATAATAAAAACATCTGGAAAATTCATGAGCTGCTTGCTGGCTATGCTTCACAGAGGGAATAAAACATGCTTCTCAGTTTTGCATTTGCCAGCTGTTACTAGGAAATGAGATCAGAAATACTGGACAGAAATTAGTTGTAATGCGTGTTAAAGAAAAAGAACTTTACAGCTGATCAGAGTTAGTGTTTAATTTCTTAGTGTCTGAAAGAATTCAGAGAGGTGGAGATCTGTAATATATTTTTTGTAGTGATAATGAAGCAGCAGTCCCGAATGAAATTACTGTATCTATAGTCTGCTTATAATTTTAGACTTGGGATACCCTTATAGTAATAGCATGGGCAAGGAATGTAATTGCCTAAAAGTTTAAGCAGTATAGCCAGCTTAGAAAATAGAAGAGACTGATTTAAGATCTAATACCATCTTGGAACCAAATTACACAACTTATTAAAAAGGACGAGAGACTCCACATCTAAGTTTGCAGAGAACACTTTTTTCTATTAGGAAGAGAATACTTTTAATTTTTAGAGTGCCACTCTAGCTGCTAAAGTCACAAGCATTCAGAGAACTATTGTTCAATTTTATGACAGCATTGGAGTTGTAGGTGTTCAGTTTTATCCTGCGTCAGAATAGAATTGAAATGTATGAGGGAGACAAGAGGGGAAAGACATGAGTTTTGCTTTTCGAAATACTAAAGCTAGCCATAGTTCAGATGAGTGTCACACTTATAGTCTATGTGATAGTTTTCAGTATAAACACTCATTATTTGCTTCAGCATGGAATTTCCAGAGTATGATTTTTACATTGTTTAAGTTGCAGTCTTCCTACGTTGCTGTTAAATATCCATCAAGCATATTTGGCCTAATGGATGGGATTTTTTGTTCTTTAGGCTCTACCTCTAGTGTATATGGTAACCAAGGACCACACAAGGAACATTTTGAATCCACGACTTCCCCTGGAGAGACCGCCACAACAAAAATAGATTCACAACCAAGGTCGGCCCGTGTACCAGGTGGGTTTTTGAAGTCAAATATTTTAAAAATCCAAGGACAGAATTCTCTTCATATGAACTGAAGTAAGAGATGAAAATGAAGGTCAAATGCAGTTGTTCAGCCTTTGTTCTGAATCAGGTAATATTCAGCATTTCAAAAGTAGTCTGAAAGACGGAGCATATTGTAACTCATATAATTTTTCAGCGATATTATGAGAGAAACCATGCATTTGGGGAATGGGATTAAGATTCAATTAACTTTTATAAACTGAAATTAAATCAAGCAAAACTTGGTAAAGTTATATGCATAGTATCATATCCATGAGAATGTTCAGAGAAAATAACAGCTAATACAAGCTCTCCAGAAGAGAGCGTGCAGACTAAAACAGAATAAAAAGAAGCCAACACCATGATACAGCTGCAAAAGAATGCAAATATATTCTGGGACTTATTAGTGGTAAAGTCATTTTTAAAACAGAAAGTAATTATCCCACTGTACTTATGCCTAGCAGGGCCAGAGCTGAAACTCTGTGTTCAGTTCAAGGTGTTGCATTAGTCACATGGGAAAAAAAGTGGAGAAGAGCACACAGAAAATTTTGGGAAGGTAACCTCTGACGCACCTTTAGAAGAACTCATCATTTGCAGGGAAAACTGAAGGGAGATATAAGAGCATACTATTAAAAGAATGCCTATCAGTTTTTCACCATGGAGTACTAATAATTAACTAATTAGAACAGGTAGTTTGTTGCAAATTAAATGTGTGAGTCTTGTTAAATAAGGAACAGTTGTTTCGAACAAAGAAAATACAGGACATAGCTCTTGGGAGAGGACCCCCATCTGTAATGGTAGTAGAGAGTAGGCTGCTGGGAAGGTTGTGAAACCTGCTTTACTAAAAATGTGCTAAAACTCATGCTGCTTCTGTGCCTGAGATTGTAGGCGTGTCATGCTAAGCCTTTTCTTTTGCCATTGGAGTAAATCCGTGACACAGTTCTTCACCTATGCTCCCCAAAGTGCTTGCAGGTGACAACAGTGATGGGGCATTTAATCTGAGCTAGCCTGTGTATAGCTGAATGATGAAAATGTGTTTGATTTGCACTGAAAGACTTTGTACACCAAACAAACATTCATGGAAGCTAGGAAAAGAGTGTGACAGGTTACAGGAAGTAGAAGAGATGGTGTTTCTGCAGTTCTGTGAAATGGCAAAACCACATGAGATGCATTCACACGCTCTTGCCCTCCCTCATCTGTCCCTACAGACTGGCTGATCATCGTGGCTGCTCTCGTGGTGCTTGCATTGATCCTGGCAGTGTGCATTGCTGTCAACAGTCGCAGGAGGTAAGGCCACCCCTTTACCTTTCCAAAACACACTGCCTTACTTTTCTCTTCCTTGAGGGTCTCCAAAGCTTTCTCAAAGAGCGGAGTAGCAAAGCACAGGAATGAGCATCCTCTGCAAAGCTCTGTGGCTTGTAGTGTGGGGACCCAGGTCACCATGTCCTGCACAGGTCACACATCAGCCTTCACACTCACCTGGAACTGCTCACATGAGGACAGCAGCTACTTGAACTGTTTAGTCTGTCAAATGGAAACTAACTGTATATAGATCACAGAAAATTGATTACCCTCCGTCTATTAGTTATTAATGGGAAAATCTTTGGGTGTTCACAGAGAGTGGAAGCTGTGAGATGAACACAGACAGTGAGAACCACAGGATGAGCCAGCAACAATCCTTCCCCACTAAAGCATTGTCTGTGTGCAGTGTGAAGGGCTGTCTTAGACAATCGCAGCGATTCTGTGAAAACCTGCTCTCGTTTCTTCTGAACAAGAGCCAGTATTGCAGCTGGCAGTCACAAGTGACTTATATGCTAACATTGCTCTCAGAGCTCTCAGTAGCTTTATGTACTCCGTTTTACAGATGAGGAGGCTGAGGAGTGAAAAGTAATGCAGTGATCTGTGCAAAGTTAGCTGGGAAATTGGGAAAACCCTAGCCTAAAGGATGGGCTATAATATTCTTACCTCTTTCTTTTCTCTGGGGCCTGTTCTGAGGTTACTTCCCAATTGTTTTCAACAGCTTTTTGCTACTTCAATGTTAAAATCGAGCTTTTTAACAGAGTAACTATTTGCTACTTGAGTGTTGGATTTTAACTCCTTTTTCATGAGAATGACCATATAATATGTGGAGATTTTTGTGCAGGAAGCAGTGAGCACATTTTTTCCTAGTCTGTTGGTTGCAGAGCACTCTGAGCTGCTCTTTAAAGAGGCTTTGGAGCTCCACAGCTCCTTGCTGGCGTCTTCTGGCATTTTATGGCTGCAGAGCAGGAAATCATTCCCAAGGGTGTGTGTAGCATAAGCAGAGTGAACTGAGCTACTTCAGATAAAATAACCCTCATCTGTGAGTCAGTAGGCATGAAAAAAATTCCAATTTAGAAGCATATTAGTAAAATTGAACAGCCAAATCAGTCCTTCAGGAATAAATGTGCTTCATTTAAGAAGAAAGGACTTCAAAGTCCAACTTCACATTGTCACTTTTAGGCATGCTGGGCTCTGCATATTCACTTTACACAAGGCTGTTTGAGGACAAGTAGGATGTCCGGCACTGTGTAGCCAGGCAGTCATCTAAACAGTAAATCTGACAGCTGTGTACGTAGTGCTTTTTTACTACACTGAAGGATACCCAGCCCATGATAACCAGTGTGCATCAGCTTTGGACTGGTGTCTCTTTAAAAGATTGTGTGTGTGCGTGTGTTTTAATTCAAAGCTACATATAAGTTTTATTGGGCAGCCCTGCAGTGAGTGTAACTTTAAAAGCACAGTACCTCTTTCTTTCTTTTTTTCTTCCTGAACATCCCAAGGAGTTCTGCTGCAGATGGCAGCAAGAATAGTTCTCCATATTTCCTTACTGTTGTTTGGCTTCTAAGCTTGACATGCTAAAATAGTTGTCTTGTTTAATGAGGTGAGAGCTTGATCCAGATTTTCTGCTTGCTTAAGAATTTGTGCATTTTCAAAGCTGTGGTCCCAAGCCTGGATTTTGAAGGTGTCCTCATAGTGGGGCTATTTACAAGGTTCATAAATGTGGATAAATTCAAATGGTAGAAAAAAATTTCTAGCCATCAGTAATGAATGTTATTGCTATATGTAGTAACAATAAATATAAATTAGATGAGTGAGCTCCTGATAAATTTTATGCATATAGTAGTGGATGCTTTCAAAAATTAAATATGCAATATGGAGAAACTTTATGTGTTGTATGATATAAGTCTGCACTGGCAGACACAAGTTTGATTTCCAGTCACCTTTTCCTAAATATTGACCTTCAGTTTTTGGGTTTTTTTTTTTAGACTCTGTTTATAATATTTTTTTTTTATGTCTTTCTAGATGTGGGCAGAAGAAAAAGCTAGTGATTAACAATGGCAAAGGGGCAGTGGAGGACAGGAAGACAAGTGAATTAAATGGAGATATCAGCAAATCACAAGAAATGGTGCACTTGGTTCATAAAGAACAGTCAAATGACCGAACACAAGCATGTGATGAATTCCTGACTGTGAATGAAACACAAAATCATCACGAGTTTGACATGAAGACTGGAGTGTAATGGTACCACACTGCCAAGCAGATCAGGGCTGGGGAAACCAAAATCATGTGGAACTTGAACAGGAATTCACAGATGCACTGTGCTACTGATGTCTTTTGAACATAAGCATGAGTTCTGTTTCCTTATAATCACTTTGCAATGACGCCTGAGTTTAAAAATTGACATGTGCTTTCTGAAATACACCCCCAAGAGTTGCGTAATGCTTTCAGTTCCCAGTCCCTTCACAGAGGACTCTCACTGTGTCCTGGATGTTAGGAGGCGTACAAGTTTGCATCATTATTCCCCAGATGGAAGGTCTTCACTGTGTGAAGCTAAAGAAGTATCCAGTCACTCCATCTTACAGATATTTAAAGTATTAAACATGCCATGGTACAGAAATAAGTGAGGACAAATGTCAAGAGTAAAAAAATCAAGTTTAAACCCAAAAGGCATCTTCTACAATGTCTGCAACAGCAGAATCCTTCAGAAATGCCTTCCAGCCAGGAATAGCAGTGGGTACATTCAGAATCTGCCAGTATAAACAAAAAGTGACATTTTGTAATTATGTGTGGCTTGGTCTGCAACAAGGGAAGCCCAGAAGGACAAAATTTATTTATCTCTATTTTTAAATATCTATGGACATACAGCAAGTCTTCTCGGGAGGGGTAATAAAGGCATGAAAACATGAGCTGAAACATAATAAACTTCTATTCTTTATTATCCTAGCAACCTGTATAACTATCCTTCTGTTTTTGAGGTGTTCATTGCTCTTCTCCCCGCCTCATTCATTGGTCCAAGTTTGTGCATGTTTTTAATGAGCCTGTTAGTTAAGATAGTGAATGAAACAAAATGACCCCAGCTCTATCACATATGCACAAATCAAGTAATTGAGATCACTAGGGAAGCTGACAGTATTTTATTCCTGAAAATAGGTCTCTATATTCTGCTCTGTTTTACTGAGGAGATGCTGAGCCTATTAAATGTTTTTCCCCTATAACTATTATATTAAGTGTGATTGCTGATATTTTAAAAGTTGCTTTTCTGTGATCTCGCTCATTTCTTCTGAATTCTTTTTCATCTACATTTTTCCATCAGCTTTTTAAAAACACCAGAAAGAAAGATTGCTTGCTTTTTGGTACCAGAAATCCAATTTCTACAGAAAAGATCAAAGCAAATGAAAGGAAACTCTTCCCAGCCATGTAATATAGTAGAGTAGCTGAGCTGCATTGTTACATGCTTCTGTTACGTCCTTTCGTGTCTGTTATGTAAAGTATTTGTATTGAGCTATGATGCTGTGCATTATATTGATATGAATTGTCAGGAAAACAATTATTTACTACCAGTGGTCTGTGCCATTTTTAAGAAAGCTTATTGGAATGGAGGGAGAATTGTAACTTCTAATTGGACTCCCCCCAGGAAATGCAGGGAAAAACGTTGTTCTGTGTCAGCTGTGGGATGTGGATGGTCTGTAGCAGGGTTATTCAGGAGCTCTGTTCACTGACCATAGCCCCTGTCTTTGAAACTGTTCTGCCAGAGTATGTTACATTATATTCTCCATCTGGAGCAGTTTGGAGGATGAATATTCAGCTGGCTAAATACTGACTTTAGCTAGCACTGATCTTTACTGGAACATAAAGCACAAGACTGTTGATTATATTTCTGAGTCACAGCCCTCCAGCAGTTTCCCATGTGCTTCATGGAAATGCTCAAGTGCCCTGGTATCTGCTGGCAGATCTCCTCAGGGCAATTTACACCTGGGCAAAAAGTCCCAAGACAAGGTGATGTTTTAAAATACACACAGGATGTTTTCTGACTTTATGCAGGTCAGATATTTCATCTGTGAACAGTGCATTGATTCTTGTTTAATGTTTTTAGCACACTTTTCTATTTGTCATTAGAAATCAAAATTATCTGTTGAAGGCTGTGATTAAACTGGTGTTAGGTACTCATTCCACTAAGTATGGAGATCCAGAGTAAGAATTATTCCTCTCTTTAAATCCAAACTGATCATGGGTGTCAGTGAGAAGAACATATTTCACTGTCTTGGAGGCTAAACTTCTCTTTTAAAAACCAAGAAAATCTGTGGCACATTATTCATATCCTATTCAGATGTTGAATGAAGAAATCCGTAGATTTTTTCATAATTTATCCTAAAGTTAATAGCTATAAAAGCACAGGCAACACTGGTTGAGTTCTTTGTATATTTTTAAATGAGAGATGCTAAAGAGGCAAAGCCATTATTTTATATATGCTGATTCTTTTTAGATTATGTCCTGTGACTTACGTGTAATTGTTTCATTATAGTTTCAAAACTAGACGGCCATTTCATATGTATAATACAGTACATATTTTTATTAATCATGCTTTTATTATGAGGGGTTGTTTGTTGTGTGTATGTATTTTTATATAGAGCACTTGATATATTTGCATATTTATTTAACAGATTAATCAGAATTAAAGAAATGCCATCTCTAAATTGTAACTAGAAATAGTATTGCTAAAAACACATCGGACTTTAAAATAAGCTTCCAAAATAAACCTGATTCCACACTGAAGATGAAACATAAGTCCAGCTGTTAGTGGGAGAGAAGTCTTCAGCTGGATAGTCATGTTGAGTGCTGTGATCATTTTTTCTGCTTGCAATTTCCAAGCCAGGCTGAGGTGGATGCTGTGTGACCTTGTCTGCTCTGCTGGCCTCCCATAGGCTCCATAGATGCTCTGGGAGTTGTGATGAGCTCAGCTTCACCCCAGAAGCAGACACAGCTACAACTTGGACAACTCAGTAAGATCTTGACAACCATTCCTGGCTCACTGAACCAACACTTGAAGAGTGCAGCACCCAGCAAGATCCAGCCCTTCCTTCTGGGTGCTGACAGACAAATCAGCTGTGACTGACACATCTCACTGTCTCTTGGTCCGTCCTTGCTTTGTGCCTAAGAAGAATGAGGATCTCTCCTAAAAATGCTAAGGAGCCTGCGATCAGCTTCTGTTATTCCTTTGTCTAAAAAGTTTCAAATAAATGTGATCCAGACCAGTGGAATACTGTCCTAAAGCAGCAAGCATATTTAAAAGAGTCTCTGTGTTTTATGGGAATGTAATATTTTCATGAAGCAATGCAGGCTGATTGTTTTATCTGTATTTTCTTGAAGTTCTGAAAAGGAATATATTATTAAAGCAGAGAAAGGATGTGCAGCTGTCATGTCTGCCTTTCTGGATGTGAAACCCTTTCCACAATACCAGTTCCAAAATGGTATTTTGCAGTTTTTCATATGATAGGGATGTTTTTTGTGTGTCCCTTGTCAATAACAACAGCTTCTGTACTAATTAGTTTGAAGCATTTTGCCTGGAATATTTTTAGGAGACAATCACCAAGTGTCTCTTTAGAGACACCATGTCATTCTGGTTAGGGCTGGTCCTAATTATTCTTTCTGTAGATGAAGGAAATAAATCCTCTGACAACTGCATTCTGCCTCCACATACAAAGATGCCAGGGTATTTTGTAAGTCAGCAGTTAATGGGTTTATTTTAAGCTATATTAGGCCATTGGACAATAATTATTTCTTAAGCTTTATTAAACAGTTCAAGGGCCTAATGCCTCTGAGTCTCTGCAAGAGCTCTGGTTGGTAAAATACCAGCCCTTTTGGTAACCACAGGTTCTGATTACTTCTTCTCTGTGGAGGAGAAAAGGACCAAAGGTGGCAGGAAAAGGGCTGTTCCTTGGGGTGAGGTTCCAGCTGTGTGGGAGTAGGTGACAAAATTCCTGTTCCTTAAGGGTGGAAAAAATTGTGCAAAGGTGTTTTGGGCATGACTCTGGGGGGTTCAGGATGGAGGGAGAGCACAATTTCTGGGAAAGGATGTAAAGGGAGAGTGAAATATCTGTACTACAACTGGGAAAGTACCTTCAACACCCCCAGCACCGTGGCACTCGAATCTTTCACAACTCTGAGTAGGAAAAAAGAACCTTTTCCTGTGAACCTCCCCCACCTCCAAGTCGTCCTCTACATCCACCACCTCATTTGCAAACTGATTTTGACATTTCCCCTGGTAACTTATTTCTCACTGTTGCTGTGCCCTGCTGCATGTGACATCCCCCATGCTGGGGCAAGCAGCTGTGGCAATGAGGAGAGGCAAATTTAGCAAAGATGAGTAGCAGTGTGTTTTGTACAGCACAGACTGTACTTTTTGTCTTCTCCTTCTCACCCCTTTGCAGTAAGGTTAGTAAAGGCAAAATTTCAAAAACATTTCTGAGAGAGACTGATTTGATTTTTATTTATGCTTTAACATATATTACACGTGAGGTGAAAAATTACTGCAGGGACTGTACAGGTCTGAAAGCCCTGACACATGCCAGGTGTCAAGGATGCCTGGGAAAAAATGCCTGGGAAATGGAGCTGTGGGAGCAGCCTTGGCAGATAAAAGCAGTTACTCCCTCCATCTCTCTTTTTCTCTCTCTGGTCTCTTTTCTATCCCACTCTGGTCAGAACCATATCCTTTCTGTATCAGTAAATGGTTCTCAGGTATTTGCTGCTTTTGGGCATTATTTTCATCCCAGAAATCTACCAAATGAATCCTCCCTGACTCCTCTTACAGTGGGACGGGACAATTCCGCTCCTTGCGTATCTTCCTGTTTTGAAAGTGCAAGACCGATACAGATCTTCACACTGGACAAATGAGCTGCTGCATTGGGTTTTTTAAACGTTAAAACTCTAGAAGAGAATCCACCATCAAAGCAGCTCTCCTGACCTCAAGACAGTTGATTATTGTTAAAGTGCAGGTAAAGCAGGGCAGTGAAAGGTTTACCTGCGCTTTAAACACAGCCTTTCAGTTTTGGCTGGATGGTTCCAGCAACCAATAGGAAGGTTCTGTCTGAGTGACACCTTCAAGGAGTCTCAGACTTTTTATTTTAAAATTTTTATTAAAAAGAAATTATTTATTCCTACTCTACAGGAAAAAGTGTTTTGGATGAAAAAGTGGGGGAATGAGACCCACCTTTATATACATTCTCTGCCACAAAAAGGTGTGCACTGAACACTGATGTGAATGTGTTTAGTTTTTCTTTAAAAGAAAATTTTTAAAATTATGAAGTTTTGGATCAAAACAAGTAAACAAAAACAGTCAAAAAAGAAGATGACTTTTTTTCCTCAGAAACAGATATCATTTCAGCTAGTTTTAATATTCCAGATAGAAGATACAGCTGTACAAATTTCCTTTTTTTTTTTGTTTTGTTTTGGGGTTTTCTTTGTTTTTTGGTTTGCTTTTGGTTTGGTTTTTTCTTTTTTTGTTTTTTTTTTTTTGGTTTTTTTTTTTTTTTTTTTTGGGTTTTTTTTTGGTTGGTTGCGGGGTTTTTTTGGGGTTTTTGTGGGGTTTCTTGGTTTTTTGTTTTTGTTTTTTTTTGGGGGGGTTTTTTTGGGTTTTTGTGGGGTTTCTTTGGTTTTTTGTTTTTTTTTTTTTTTGGTGGGGGAAGATTCTCCATATCTTGTATGAGTAAAAGAGTATAGCTTTCCCTTTGTACTAAAATGAAGGGAAGATTCTCCGTACCTTGTATGAGTAAAAGAGTATAGCTTTCCCTTTGTACTAAAATGAAATTCTTAGAAGTAATTTATGGTCCCACTGGAAAAAAAGATATGCAAATTTACAACAAAACAGGATTGTTCAAGTCTAAGATGTCATTAATTTAAGTGCATTTATCAGAAAAACCTCCAGCATTTTTTTAGAAAATTAAGGAATAGTCTCACTCAAACACCCACTTAACTTGGAATTTAGGTCAGCAGCAGTTTTTGCTGGTGCTGAAGCTGAGGCACAGCTGAGATTAGGGGTACGTAGGCTGGCTGTGGTAAATCAGCACACGGCTCATAGGCACTGGAGACTCTGTATATCCAGAAACTTTCAGGTCTGCTGAGTTTGTCCTGAAGTCCTTGTAACTCTCAGAGCAACCCAGGGCAGAGGAGGATGCAATAAGGCATTTTCCACTACTCTGGAGGTTCTACATTTTGTACCTGGCATCTGAAAGCCTTGCCTTGGCCAGTTGTGGTAGGCTGGAGTCTGCTTTAACACCCATATTGGCAGTCTCATGTGGAAGTGTATAAATTGTTTGGTACCGCTTGGTACCAAATGGCTTTGGTACAGCTGAGTTTTACCTTTAATTCTAAATTTACTTGTTGTCATGATGTGTACATCATCTAGTTTCTGGCAGGACAGAAGGCTCTTCTTCCCTGGGTAAATCTAAAAGAAGACCCCTTAGATAATTTTCAGTGACCACATTTTCCCTTGCATGAGTTGAGACTCCACACTTCCATTTATTCTTATAAGAAACAGTAATAAACAGCTCTGTCCCATGATGGAGTTAAAGTCTGAGTTTATATTGTTTATATTTATATCTACAGTTATATTTAGACTTTTATATTTATATAATTTATATTTATACTATTTATATTTATATTATATTTATATTTATATTTATATTTATATTTAATCAAATAATTGTTTTTAAAAGCAAGCATCCTGTTCAGGGCTGCTGCTGCAGATTGCTAGCAGCACCTTACCAGAGCTAGCTTAGGGAGAGAGTTTCCTGCAGCTGAGTTATCTAAGGTGAGTCCATGGCAGGTGAGCCCCATGCACAAGACACAGTGATCTCAGCTGACAACAGCACACCAAGAGAGAGAAGAGTGTTCCTGCACATGCTGTGGACTATAGCCATCAGTGATACAAACCTCAGAGCTCCTTTTACTTTTTGGATGCACAAATTATCCTCTGTTTTGGCTTTGTTCAAGCACTGCCTGTCTATCTGTAACCTCTGTGCAAGTACCTGGAGTTTGTCTTCCTGTAAAACTGCTTCACAAGCATGTCCTCAGTTCAGCAGGTTTTGTTTTCCAGCAGTAGGTCTTCAGATTCAATAGCTTTGTAGTTCTTGGGTATTTCCCTGCAGTTCTTTAGTGGTTTATTTTCTAGTTAATCTTTCTTTCATTAAACAAGTGGAAGTCTGAAATGAATTCAAGGTAGGGATATTTGTTTGTTCAGCCAGTGACTTAAAAACAATCTTACCCTTTGTTCAAGAAGGTTGACTTCCCCTCTCCAGCCATGAAGAGGACAGGTATAAAGCCTGCCCATTGTTTACTGGCCAGTCAAGAATGGGAGAAGCCTGGTTCAGAAACAAAGCTGAAATGATCCTGTCAATTTAGATAACACCAGTGACCTGGGTGAAATAGTGAAATGATTTTTGAGTGCATTTCCTGGCTTGGTCCCTCTTCCTGTCCCTTCAGTGCACTGGGAGTCAGCTGCCTTTTCTCCCTTGCACATCTGCACAGCAGCATTTCTCAGGCGCTGTGCAGGGATCACAGGAGAGTGATCCGTGCAGCTTCTCAGGCATCCCAGTAAGAAAACAGGCAAATGGGAGATTGATCTGTTTTACAAATGACTATGTGAAAAGCAGACATTTTTAGTTCAGCCACGAATGAGAATGAAGAGCACAACACTGTGTGAAACAGACCCTATGTTGCTTTTCCAAATGCCCAGCTCCAGAAGCCCTACCAAGAGTGTGAGGCCTTGCTCCTCCAGACCTTGTTCCTGTACTTTTGGTGGGCAGCAGTCAGTTTTGTCATTTATCTGTGCGCACAGACACATCTTGTTTATCACCACAGAATGTGCCTGCCCCAACCACCAGGACCACAAGCCCTTATCTTGCATGCAATCTGTTTTCCTCCCTGCCTTTTCTGCATGCCGCACCAGTGAGAGAGCAGGCAGTCACCTGCCTGGCCTGGGCAGCTGCCTCAGCTCTGGTGCCTGCACAGGGCTCTGCACAGCTTTGGAAGCAAAATGGCTCCAAGCCCTGCTGGGGTATTTGTACATTATTGCAATGCAAGTGTTTGCTGCAAATAACCCAGCCCAGCTGAGTGGAATTTTTACTGCTGTTTTCCTCCTAAAGCACTGTACGTTGGGGTCACCTGTTTCTTTCATTACCTTGTCCTGTTCACCTGTACTATCTAATACAAAGGAGAAGATTGTTTCCAATCTAACAACCCCAAAGTATTATCTCAGTTGTTCTTTCATGCCTTAGAGGAGATACAGAAATATCTCTTAATATGGGTCCATGATTCATAACTCACTGGCTTTTATATCCTCTTTTGGCAGACTCTTTCCTGTAGGGAGAAACACATTCCAGACACAAACACACTCCTGAAATAATCT